CCCGGCCTCTCTGGCAGAAGCAGCTCCAGCTGGAGGAGGATTTTGGTGACCTGCTGGCGCAGTGAGTACCCTTGCAGGGCAGGGCATGTGAGTAGGGAGCAGCTCCCCGAAACCACCAGCTCCTGTCTGTGGGTTCCTCCCAGGTACAAGCACTTCAAGTCCTTGCCGGAGTCGCTGAGCCTGGAGCAGCTGAGCCTGGCAGGGAGCAGGTCCCCGGATGAGGCAGATGGCCCTGCGGCAGGGGATGGTGGCCCCAGCGAGGTCCCCTGCAGGACACAGTCACTAGTGGAGGGGGCCGACCTCGAGACCTCCCCCTTGTAAGTGTTGTGGGAGCACAAGTCCTCAGGAAGGGCGAGTGAGAGGTTTTATGTTGTTGTAGGGTTTATGTCACTGGCATTGACAGGCTTCAGAGTTAACAGCCTCCATGGGAGAGCTGGCTGCACCAGGGCATTTCCCCACATCTGGGGTTGCTCTGCCCCATCACTCATGCTCCATCCTCTCCCCACAGGCACCCCCCAGTGAGGACAGCGGCACCGCTGCCCCCTGGGGAGCCTCCATGGCCAGGGGGGCCACTGGGCCACCTGTCCCCGGCCACCACTGAGGAGCCGCCGGCTGCAGCCAAGCCCCCCCTGGTGCTCCCCGAGCCATCACGGGCACCCCTGTCCTACCGGAGCAGTGGGGCGGGCAGCGCTGCCTCCCAGCACCGGCTCCGCAAGGTGAGTCCCCCGAGACTGCGGGTCCCCATCAGCTGGCACCCTCAGACCCTGCCAGGGGGTTCTGGGGGTGCTCAGCAGCAATCCTGCCCTCCCAATGCATCTGCAGGAGCAGCGCATCGTGTCACCAGAGACGGACAGCGGCTTTGTGGGCTCGGAGGCCAGCAGGGTGTCACCCCCCATGCACACCCCTGAGCACCAGCCCCCCAGCACCGGGTACGGCTCAGGGTCCCTGCCCTCACCTCGGGGAGGGGGGATTCAGGGACACAGGCTGTCGGCTCTGCCTGAGGGGATTTGGGTCATTGAAGGGGAGCAGGGATGGGGGAGTGGCAG